CTCTTTCCGCACTTCTGCAGTTTCGGCATTTCTACATTTCTTCACGGTCGCAAGCTATGAACGCGGCCTAAGGCAGCGTTCAGACTTCGCGATGGCGCGCGTTTTGCGAGAGTATAGAAGCACAGGAGGGTACCAGAACGTGTGAACGCAGCACTTACCCTCCTGTTATCCTAACTTCTCAAAACACAAGCAGTCGGCGCCAACCGGTACACGTCTTCGGCTGCGTTACCGTCCATAGCATTGGAGCGCCGTTGCGGTGGCAGCGCGTGGTCGCGCGTCATCGCAAAGTCTGAACGCTCCCTAATATTTGATCTCCCATCCCTCTCCTGTTTGATCTCTCAACTTGGCGAGCTCAATAGGCACATGCTTTTCCATGAGCTCTAAGGAATTTGCCTTATGTTCAGTCGCGTTTCTCCATTCTCCCAGTGCATGGCGCATCCGAGGGACACACCAATAACGTACAGTACCCAGTTTCCATGAGAATGATGTTCAAAGCGAAAAGCTATTCGATCCGCGGCTCTGACCGTTTACTGAATCTTTTCTTCTCTGTGTCCTAGCTTGTCCGTGTTTAACTGGTGTTTACATTTCCACCACAATGATTTTTGTTTACTGACATCTGTGCTTGTTTTATCGACTGGCTACGCTTTCAGGCGCTGTTAGGCTTCGAGCGGGCACTCCTCCTTACGCTAGCCTTTTGTTAGTACATGTTAACAAGCACCTACAGATGCTTCTGTACACACTTTTTTCTAAAAGTTCTACAGCTAGAAGACTTGCCTCGCTGAGTAGCATTTGGTGCCCCCACCAATCCGCACTGCGCCCATTTCCACCACCCAACAGACCATTTACTTGTTATAGTAAGTCGTTTGATGTTTAGATGATCCCCCAGGGATCGTTGGGGATTCGCTCTCTGTGCCCATTGGCTCAGCGAAGTCTCCATGCTTCAGCCATTGTTCTTACTGAAGTTTCTTCACAAATCACTGAGCCAACTGATCCAAACGCTTCTCCAACATATATGGGATACTTAGCTGGAGCTATCAATGCTATTCTTGCTAAGGTAACACTATTTGAGTAATTCTTTTAGGGTTTGTAATGGTTCCTGCTTGTTATTAGGCCGCCAGCTATACACTATCAGACGACGTTCAGACTTCGCTATCCAACCGCGCGATCGGATCGCGCGACCACGACCGAGGGCGCTCCACCGCCAAACGGTGCCCCGTCGCAACGGCACAACTCAATTTGACCCAGTGTGTTTCGAGTCTGCCGTTGCGGCGGCGCACCTCGTGGCGCTAGAGCGCTTACACTCGTGGTCGCGCGAGCGTGAAGTCTGAACGCGGTCTTGAAGAAAGACCCCGCGCTCAGCCGAATTATAGGATTCAAGGGTTGGCGGGAGGAATATTACGATTTGGCTGAGCGCGGGTCTGGGCTCTTCCAAAACTATTACTCTTTTCAGACAGCTGCAGCCAGCCAAGCGTTGGGCCTGATATCAGAGGGCGAGACGAAAAGTGGCCCGACAAAGCCTGTTGTGACGGCGACTTCTGAAAGCGGTGCTCCTACGAAAGCCCAGTCAGTTAAAGCAGGACCCCGAATTATTGTGTTACAATCATTCTTTGATTTTAGATATTTGAAACATACGTTTGAAAAACGAATATCAAGAACCGAGGTTACAAATACGACGAAGGCACTTGTGAAGCAACTTTTGCTGGCTGATTCGTCGAGTTCAAAACTCGTACGTATTAAAGAGCTTAGCAGTCACATCATTAGTTTTCCTCCGACCAGGATCATTGCGGCACAAGTACGTAGAGTTTTAAAGTGGATTTAGACCGATTCTGTTACTACTTGACTAATCATGTAACATTTGCAGCATCCCCGCCTTATCGCTGATTTACTCAAAACGGTAACATCTGCTGATGTGAGTGCAGAACTTCGAGCAGAAGCTCGTCAGTGCTTGACTTTATGTGGATGTCAACCTGCTGTAAAAAGTAGAGGTGAGGGTATGAATGCTTTTAAGTGGTCGACTGCTCTTCAATTTTTCAATTTCCCCATCAATTTGTTGTTAGTATTCATCAAAAATTCCGGAGCAAAGCTAGATGGAGGTGCCATCAGGGCATGTCCTGCCTTTGGGGAAATTTTCGAGAAATACGACCTCCCTCGAAATATCCTCCTCTGTTACAAATCTCCTTCCCCATCCTACTTCACACGTTCTTGAACTTCCCAATTTGCTGACAGCTTCCCCAAGAAGCTGCCTTTGAGCGGGAGGGTGGTGTATATAAGATACACGGGACACGAGAAGAGAAAAAACCGGGAAAAGACACGAGAAGAGAAAAAAGCCGGGAAAAGTCCGTGAACATCTTGGGCTATATGCTTAGAAAGCATTCATGGTTTGCGTCAGCGTTTTGAGGGTTCTGTATCGCTCAAAATGCTAGATCGATACCCATACTTCCCTAGTTGCTCAAAACGCTCAAAACTCTGGTGAGCGCTCAAAACGCTCATGGGGTATAAACGCATTCTTAGTCTTATGCGGTGTGAATGAATGGACGATTTTAGGGAATGTAGAACTTAATAAGAATTCGTTCTTCATTCTTATGTTTTTTTTTTACAATAATGCCTTCGAAGGCTATCAGTCGTTCGTTATAGGTGTAAATCTCCTTAGTATCGATGGAGGAGGTACTCGTGGTATGATGGGTCTTGAAGTACTTGAACAAATAGAACGGATTTCTGGGAAAAGGGTCAGTACTCTGTTCATTTGTTGGGCTAGAACATGTAGTCTCGTTTGGTGTGGATGAAGGGGCATGTCTGGTTTGGCGCGGCGCCAAACCCGTTTTCTGTCAGTTGTCAAAGCGAGTAAGCGACAAGACTATCATATCGTCCATCAGTCGTTTTCCAACAATTGCTGTCGTTTAACTGCTTCAACAACTGGTGAAAAACGGTTAAGCGCCGCGCCAAACCCATTGCGCCCAACACGCAATTTCTTTTGCAGGTGAACGAGACTGTAAATCGTTTCAATAGTGCTTCTTCTTAGTCGATATTTTCAGGTATGCGAGCTATTCGATCACGTAGTTGGGGTCAGTACAGGTAGCATCATCTCCAGCTTACTGATTGGGAAGGGATACAGCGTTGAGGAATGTCGTGGTGTATACATGGATGTTTCAAAAAAGTGAGAATCCAGTATGCTACAATCGTAATTTTTGTACAGGACTTTGGGAGGCGGGCGATTCTATCATGAGCTAATCAGATTATGTCGCGCACGGCAATCTTGTAGTTGCATTACCGTAACCATGGTTGTCGCTGGGCTAAGAGAATTGTGTGAGTTCACAGCATTCTTGACCAGCTTTCCCCTGAAAGGCTATCCGTTCGTGATCCCTTTAACGATTGGACGAGCCATGAGACCATGCAACTCGTACGCTACAGCTGCGGCATCGCCAGCCACGCCCACCATTGCGGCGATCTAGCGCTGCTGCACGACTGGATCTCCACACACCTCAGAATTCGAGTTCTTTGCCTGTTGTGGTTTATTTTCCAATGTTCCATAGAATAACTAGAATGAGTCGATTTAGATTGTTTTCGCAAAGTCGTTTGACTGGCGTCAGTGGAGTTGTGTGGAATCACTCCTATTATGATACCAAGAAATGGATGAGCATGTTGAAAGAGGTAGGTTCTCAGCTTTTAGGTCGTGTTTTACTCATGTTCCTGGGTTTCTATAAAAGATTGGGCGCTGTTCGGCTTACAGCGGGGAAGGGCCTGGCCATTTTGCACTTTTGCTAATTTTTCTTGCTAGCTTCTGTTGAGTTACACCTGTCACCTTCGTGAAACCCATAGACTCTTGCCAAATGTAAACGACTATTGAATAGCTGTACAAGAGTTTTTAGGTTTCTACAAGAGGCACGACATTGATCAACAGAGCCAACAAAACTCGCCCCGCTCCCCGGGCACGTGACAAGAGAATCGTGGTTCGCCGCGCTAACAGGCGCCGCGCCCGCAGACGGCGATGGTTCAAGGTCCTAGATGGCGACAACAGGCAATATAAAACCAAAGATAGCAATAAATGTCTACCGTTTCGTAGCCCACGTGAAATCCGGTGCTCCAGTCGACAGGCTAAGTCCAAATAGGAAAATACCGCGCGCAGCGCAGCGGCGAATTACGATTCTCTTGGCCGTCTCCCGCGCTCCCCTGCCAAGCCGAGTTGGGACAAATTTTGCTATCCCGACAATTTTCAGGTTATTGGAGAGGATTTGACACTCATCGAGACAAGTAAAATGGAAGTACCACGTCTTAGCATTGTTGCCACCATAGTGAATTCGCCTGTTCTCCAAGTATGTTTTTCTTGTTTGCCATCGTGTTTTGTGAACAAATCAGTGCGTGATGCGATTTTAATAAGTACCAGTTTTAGCCGTATATATTCCGTAACTATGAAGCCCCTGCAGGTCGCGATTCGCACTACCGTGGAAGCACAGGACACTGTCTCTGGAAGGCGATTCAGGTTCGCAGTTTTTAGTCGCGGTCAGAAAGTACTAAGACAGTCTTGTTGGCCTTAGCTTGTCTCATTGGTAGAGGTACGGGATGCCGTCAATTTCGCGAGAGTTTAGTCGAAACTCGGTCATTTGGCGCTGATGTAGCACGGGTGGGGCACGTTGCACGTTGAGAGGTAGACGACGTGACGTCACATAACAAGTTAATGACGTGGTTGGAGACGCCATTTACGTTTATGCGACCCAGGTTTCTATAGGTATGCGACAAGCCAATTGCAATATGCGGCGGTGGGCGTGGCGAGCTCCGTCGCGTCCGACAGAAGGGTTGGTTGCTTGTGCATTTAAACCTAATCGTCAGAAGGCTGGGAAAACGTGTCACTTATCATGAGTCTTTTCCTTGCTTGAATTCATATGAGCTTCATTGCTTCGATAATCTGATGCACATCGAACATCTGTTGCGTATGGGCAAGGAACGCCGCGCGCGATAACGCGACAGATCATTGTCTTTCCCTCCTCTCGGTTTCACTGTCATTAGCATGTTTTGTGACACTTCATCCCCTGGCACTCAATAGGTAACGAGCTTGCGCATTTCTTCCCCCATTTATCTATTCAGAGGAGGCTATTCGAAGAATGAAAGCATGCAAGGAATCTTTAAGAGTAACGCTTATGCGAAACAAGACTGAAACGAAGCTTCTTCATCCTAATCAGTTTCTTTTTTTCGCGATTTCTGTCCATATTTTAGCCTGATATTTCGCTTTTGAAGTGTTTCAGCCATCAGATATGTTTTAGGCATCAGCTGCTGCTCCACTGTACTTTGAAGAAGTGAAAGTGGACCAGTTTCTTCTGCAGGATGGAGGAGTGAGTCTCTGAAAGATTTTATTTTTATATCTTACTTTGTTTTTCGATTTATTTTTCTCTTTCTGCTAATATTAGGTTGTCCGGAAAGTTCTCAGCGTTTCGAGTGTTTCACTTTAAACGATCATAACTTTCTTAATACTCATCGGATTTAATCCATTCGAATCAGCACACTTGCCAATGTGAAGATAGTCGACAAATGTTCACCATAGAAAAACTGGGTGTCGCAGAAACACGAAATACGAAGTGTTTTTGGATGGCCCTGATTGTATGAGTGTTTTCGGCAATGGAAGTTACTGAAAATCTTGAAAGCGTGAATAGTCGGTTTGATTGTAAGGTTTTTGGAGAAATATGGCGGAGTGGGAGGAAACTTCAACCCCAACTCGTTCAATTGATGGATAGCTGATTTTGTGAAAGTGTTGGGCGGGCGTTTGCCATACAATGAATCGGACCATTATTCTTTTGACAAGTGCTGGCTGCAGCTGACGCAATTTTCGGTACATTTCGTCGATTCCTTCACAGTAGGGTTCTGCTGTGATGGTTTGGCCTGGTGATAAAAAGTTATAGTGGATCACACCAGCCGATGACCAAACCGTGACCAGAATCTTTTTTTCGTGAGGGTTCGGCTTTGAAAATTACCTCGGTGGTTCGTCGGAATCCAACCACTGTCCGGAACGTCTCCTGTTATCATACATGATCCATTTTTCATCACAGGTGACAATTCGGTCAAAAAGCGGGTCGTTTCTGTTGCGCAAAAGCAGTGAAGAAGAAACCTCGAGACGTGCCAATTTCTGCCGGTCACTCAAATTGTGGGGCACCCACTTGTCGAGTTTTTTCACCTTTCCAATTGCATTTTCAGACCATCCTTCAAACAACGGATTGCCAACGCCTGAGCCGTTCTGTGTCTTTCTCGTAACTGTTTTATGATGGGTCGCTCAAAATCCCTAAGATCTTCGTCAGATATGCTTTCAGGTCGACGCTATGAGGTTCAACTTCAAGGCTGAAATCGCGCCAGAACGAAATTTGTCGAACCATTGTGGCACAGTGCTTTCGCCAACGCTATTAGGCCCCCACACCTGGTTAATTTGTCGAGCTGTCTCGAGTGCGGAATGACCTAATTTTTAGTTGCAGAAAAATATCGTCCGAAGTTGCTCTTTTGACATGCATCAAAAAGTCTTGGGAAAAGGGGGTTTATCAAGCATTGGTGAAACGGCAATTATACCATCAGATAGCGCAAAAAATTCTCTTCAGGATGTACTACTGAGACGCAAGGGAGAATGAGTTTTTAATCAGCAATGAATGTACAAAAAATAGTGGCAAAATAGTAACACAAAACGCTGCAGAACATTTCCGGACAACCTAATAACATCGGGCGGGGGGCATATCTGGGCAATGATGTCAGCATACAGGCTTCATTAAGTCGTATGAACTATATTCGTGTGAATACTGAACAGCCGTTGTTCACCCTGTAAGTCCTATAAATTCCGTCAAGTACGCTGGAAACTTCCATGCTATGTGTTGCTGTATACCCGCCAGGCTGGATCCCGTTAACTAAGTTTGACAGGATTTTGCAGATGCGTGACGGTGATAAAAAGGCTTACATGGTCGACCGGTTTTCACATATGTACAGCTTCCAGGATTAAGTTTGCTGACAAACGCTTATAAGTGTGCCTTTCCTCCTCCCTAGGCTTATTGACGCCCATTTCTGCCCTTTCGCATGTGCAAAAGTACCCACGTTGATAACGATTGAATCCTGATTACGTTTTTTTCAAATTTTTACTGCAATGGTTTGTCAACAGTGAATTAATAGGTCATCGCAAACAATCCAACGGCAATCGGAATCCATGAGGCGAAACTGCTTTGGCCTGAGGAACGGTTACATTGTGTAGTGTCTATTGGAAATGGGCGATCGGTGAGTGTTAGATCTGATACAGGGCTGCATTCATACTTTGCGTCAGCGTATGGCAGCGTATCGAGCGTTCTTTAGCGCCAGCAGCTAGGAAAGAAAAGCTGTCAATCCAGCGAAAGCCATCGTACACCAGCGTTTTCTCGGGCGATATGAGCTCGAGCAAAACTGCCCACGAAAACGCTGGGATGTTCACTAGATCGATATTCGTACATTCCTAGTCGCTGGCGTACGCTGACGCTAAGCACGAAGGCAGCTTAACTTCTGTGTAACTCACTTAGCCATTATTTATGCTGGATTTAGGTGTGTGATCTTGAACAAGAAGAGTCGATGACACCATCTCCATTGAGCTCGCTGCAGAAATTTAATCGTATTATTGATAGTGCAACGAACACAGAAACCGTGCACATGTGTATGCATGATTTGTTGGATCAGAATGTTTATTTCAGGTTTGATTCAGAATTGTGGGTAATAGATTGTGACTGAGGAGTTGATAATGTTTCCTTCTTTCAGGTTAAATCCGTACATGACATTCCCTTACGCGCTTGACGAAATTGATCCCAAAAAGTAAGGTTTTGAACAAATGTTTCACAGGCGCAGTTCGGCCTGGGGGACAGTTTGCACTTTCGCTCACTTCCCATCGACGTGTTCTTTGTTTTGCAAGAGCTCACAGGTGTGCTTCAGAAGATGTGACAAATGGTCTCTAAACATTCTGGTATCACTTCATGGCTTCATAAGATTCACAGGGTTTTTTAAGGGCGCGACTCGTCGTTGGGAAGTAACCAGAACGAATTATCACTTCATGGCTTCATAAGATTCACAGGGTTTTTTGAGGGCGCGACTCGTCGTTGGGAAGTAACCAATGTGGAAAAGTGCTACAACCCCTCAAACAAAGCTGCGCCCATTCCCATTTGGGAAAATGTATAACGTGGTCGTTTAAGGCTTGATCAAATGCAGAACGATGCGAAACTGTATGTTCGGCGAAATATGTCGAAAATCGAAGATGCCGTGGCGAGGCTGCTCCAGGTAATATTATTTTCCACAGTGATTTTGGTTTATGCGTTCTTTGCAGTCATCCATTGAAAGAATGGTTCTTTTCCATTCATTCCTTTCATCATTCTGTCCCTTTTTTTCTTCCTGTCACCATGCATTCATTTATTCTTTCTTTCTTTCTTTCTTTCTCT